GCAGGGGCTGCGGAGCTGGGGGCTCTGATCTCCTCCTCCTCGGAGAAGGGGGGTGGCGGACCAGGGCCACCAGAGCCTGAACTCAGCCTCAAGCCATGGGGCCCCCATGTCCCCTTCCAGCAGTGCATCCCGTGCAATGCTCTGGGCTGGGCTCAGGAGCCCCAAACACGATTTTCAGCTGCAGGGCAGGCTTTCTTCAGTCAGACCTAAGAGATACTGATGGGAAAAGACAGCTTCTTTAAAGTGCATAAAAGTATATAAAACCAAAGCACCCGCCTGCCAAGTCTTTTTGCTGACAGAATCCAATTGTTTGGGACTGGGAGTGACTTTTATCTGAATGATCCAGCTTAGCAGATGCTTTCTCTCCATCTTTCAGATGAATTTGGCTAGTCAGGGCCAACACAGGACCTGGCAGGACAAGGAGAGCTGCACGCTGAGCATCGGGCACGTCACCCAGCTCCTTCTGGCCGGAGACCCAGCCGGGCCTGAGGGCGCCCATGCTGCCGCCAGAGCTCCGGGCTGCCCGAACCCAGCAACTGAGCTGCGGCCCGGACTGTCGGAAACCTTCAGCCAGCCAAAGGCAGATGCTTCCGAGAAATCTCAGCTGCCAACTACCTGCAGGTTACCTACCGACCCCCCCGGGAAGTCAGGTGTCTTCCCGTGTCCCCTGCCCTTGCCAGCGCCAGCCGTTGCCTCTCTGCGGCAGCTGAGCAGCCACAAAGAACACATCAATTTTCCTGACATAGCTTCTAGACCCGATTTTTCAATTCGTAAAGAGATAAACGTGTAAAGAAAATGGCTCAGCTCCTAAATAATAAAGAAAATATGTAGCAGCAGCAAATACATTTCACAGTTTGCTGTTACTGTAGTTCTTTTTCTCTCGCTCAAACTGGTAGCCCACTCTCTGTGTGACTGTGTCTATGGATGGGAATTCTTACTGCGTGTGTTTAAAGCAGCTTTTTAACTTTGTAAATGCAGTAATTTAGTTTAAGCTTGAAATTAATAGTTCCATGTAAAGAGAACAACTAGCTATACTATAATAAGAGTTTTTTCTGAAAAAGAGAATCATTGAAGTAGCTGAAATCAGTGGATTGGGTCAAACATATGTACGTAACCCTTTGACTACTTTAAATTTAGCTTTAGCAAGAAAGACTCGGTCATGGATCATTGGTTTCCTTTGGTGATTTTGTGTGGTAAGGTGCTGTTTTAGCAAATACTCTCTCTCTTTATTTTGTAAACAGCAGCTATGAAGTAATCAGTGTTCTCTAGGCCTGACTATAAGCTGGTCATTGCTCTTTGCACAGACTAGCTTTCAATACTCCCTCCTAGTTCAGATAAAGGTCTTGCTCTGTAACACCTCGGCCATAGCAGAGCAGTGGGTGTCTTGAAACCAGCTCTCTCTGAAGGTACCACCTTCCCCACTGCTCAGCCCATGGACCAGCTGGAGGACATTACGGAAAGAGGCCGTGCGGTATTTGCCTCCTCGGCTGATGGGGGACGTTCCCAGCGGGTGTGTACCGACACCGCAGCCTTGAGTTCAGCCCAAGGACCTCAGCCTGAAACCTGCCCATTCCCAATGAGATGGACTCCTTGCTCCATCTTCTGGCCCGCGATTCCGTGTGCCAAAGTCCAGCCCAGTCAATATCAGGAGCTTGTGGGGACCACTGTGCCAAGTGGGCTTGTAGTCCATACATAACTGGAGTATTTTGAATGTAGACCTGGAGGACAACTGGAATCTAAAATCACTGGGCCTTGTGCTCATGACTCATCTATGAGCCCTTTTTAGAACGGCCCTGGGGTCGATGCCCATTAATTGCTTCGTGCCGGCGTGACTGGTTAATGTACTGAGTGAGGTCTTTTCTCAAGCTCTGCTATAAATCTCTTTCGGCAAAGGCCACATAGCAGGGTCAGCTGGTTTCCTAGGGGCTTTGTTTAAGCTCAGGATGGCTAAGAGCCTTACGGAGCCACAACTTGGCAGGCGAATGCACCGGTCTAGCATCAGCAGCTGCCACCCCAAAGCCCTCGTAGGATGGCTAATAGGTCCTAAAAGCGCTTCCCCTGGGCAGACGGCTCCACCTGCACCTCCTGTCCCTGCAGCAAAGCCCTCCCTTTTTGTCTCATGCTGCTTTGCCGAGGCAAGAGCCTACAGCCTTGTAAAGCCTTGCATCCACAATTCACAGGCCCCAGACATCTGGCTCGGAGTCCAGAGTGCTGCCAGCTGAGCCACGCAGGTGTATTTTGTAGGTAATAATTGCTCTGTGCCTTTCTGTCTCTGCATGGCCACTCTCCCAGGCGCTCAGGGCTCCTATCTCACCTCTTCTACGACACCCTCCTCAAACTCTTTGCCAGGGTGACTGCAGGCACTGGATACCATACCTTTGAAGCTTTTTTCCATTATGTATGTGTTCTGACGTCTATCCATCCCACAAGCACCTGCATAAAAATGATATATAATGGAAAACAAATAAATATTTATGTAAATTGGATTGCTTTGACTACTGAGCAGCATATATTCTTTCCTCTAAACTGTACATCAAGGCTCTCTTTTAGGGAGGCTCTTAAGCACATCCTCAGCTGTGGGCACGCACTCAGCTTCAGCGAGGATTCTGCGCACGCCTAAAACGATGCGTACGCTTGAGAGCTTCCCTGGAAGGGAGGGCTTTCCTGAAGCAGGGTACTGCTCATTACCAAGAACAGCTGTCCATCAGGAGAACAGAAAAAAAAAAAGAAATCATCTGCCGATACTTTCATTACTGAAACACTGGGTTGGATTAGTAAAAGAAGCCTAAAACACATCCTTTCAAATTTGAGTCCGCAGGTTACGTTACGTTGCTCAGTGACTAATTTTAGGCTTTGTTTCATTTGTGGGTAGTATGTTATTTAATTCACAGCCGTAGATTCTCAGGTGTGTACAGTATTTCTAAATTACCTAATATGACTTTTCTTATAAATTTGCACAGTTCAATAACTGATGTGACAGTAGTCCCGAAGTGACTACAGCCGTCTGAAAATGCAGCACCCGAGAGCAGAGAGCTGACAGCAGACTTCTGCCTTATGCAATGCCATAAGAACTTGCTGTTCCTTACAGAAGCAGAGAGAGAAGGGGATGGGAACCTTTTCCGTTTTCACTACTGCAAATTATCCTAGATATCAATCAAAAGGAAAATCTAATGTAAGCCTTTAAATCTTTTTAACTATAGAGTCTGATATTTCTTATTGACTAGCAAAATCAACACAAATTTGGTTACTGAGATAGAAATGTCTTTGTGGCTTATGGGATTCCCAATCAAATAACTAAGTTATGCTGGTAAAAGAGCCCTGCAAACAGCATGTCCCAGAGGGCTCCCAGCTATTTCTCCTTGCGTGTCCTCTGGTCTCTACAGAAAAAGCTGTCACCATCACCGGCAATGCTGTACCAGTGCCTTTTTCATGGCAGCTTTGGTTTTTTGCTAAATAAGGAAAATCACTAAATGAGACAATAAGTGTGGCACATCAAAGGCAAACCCCTTTGCTCTGATTCTCCGAGTGTCCAGCCCTGAGCACAGGGAAGGGGCTGGTGGTACACGACTGGCTCTCTCTGATGGGGGTCTTTCCACTCTGGCCACGGG